ACTGTTGTCCTGGCCTCCGTTGAAGATTACAGTCCTTCACCTGAAAGAAATTCCCACCTGATAATTTACCAACATGCGCGGAACCTGTGCGCTAACAATGGTTCACTCCAATTAGAACTTCCAGGTTATATGTGACCGTACTCTAAGTCCTTATCCGGCGTATCATGACAATCGCCTTTTTTCTAAGTGCTGTGAAGCACCCGGTTTTTCGTGATGTCAAACCCCAACAGTTGTCCGCGTCTGGGGTCTCACCACCTTGAATTGACACATCTCGTGCAACAAGCCACCATCTCAGCTATACTCCAATATTTTCACCGGAGAAATCGAAGTCCAAACTGCAACATTAGTTCGCACGCTGCGTGTTTAGTGTGTCAGTGCTTGCTTTGTGTGGCTGTATAGTTAACGAGACAGTATAGTCGTACTCAGTTTCACGTTCCCCTCACGTGTAACCGGTTTAGAATATTCTGAGGCTGGTAAGTGTGACTTGGCGGTCAGGTTTGACTATTTTACCATGGGTGAGTGGTCGTTCAGAGAAACTGCCGATTGTTGCCTCAAGCTCAGCATAACCTGCAAGACTCATCACAGTTTAGGTTCCTGTTTTGGTTTTATTGCTGTGAGATATTGACTATCTACGGATTCCTTCGATATCTATGCTAGTGGTTATTATGCACCGGTTGAGACCGGTGACTGGCTAGTCATAGTTTGTGCTCATAGGTTTGGGGTCTGACGGTTAAATCGCATAGTGGTGCAACTGTTCTTCGCTTCGTGCATGTGGATGGTTATTCAATAACTTTGCTTCGTTTTTATTCAACTTCTAGGAAATGTTACTTTCGAAGCTTCCTCGGGGTTGCCAACCAGTTTCTAACAAACTTATGGACAAAGGACGTCGCAATCAACACTTTAATGCCGCGTTTTTGGGGTTCTCCTCAAAGTCAGATTCAGCCACTGCATTTACTGCGTTGCTAAACGTGAAGTTTGGTGATCGCACAATCAATGTGTCCTACTCACATTCCCGCGAGGGTAGGTCGTAACTCGTTGCTCATGATGCATCTCCGTTCTCGTGTTCTTTTCGCTTCTGTTCCAGCTGACGGAGCCCCTCTTGCTGCGGTCAGTGGCTTTGCGCCACAGGACCAACATGGATGTATTTTAGCAACTACATAGCTCCGTTGGATCGTGACTCCTATCGCCATACAGTTGTATCATTTACGTTTTAGCGACTTTGGCTCAGCATCTTATTGGTAGCCTTTGCGTGTGTCTAGAAGGACACTATTTGCTTTGGTTCACGTTATTTCTGTAACATTTCAGAGGAAGATAGCGAATCTCATGGAGCCGGCTTCCCTAAGGGTGAGACGGAAATTGTTAGGAAGTCAACGACGAAGTCATGTGGCCCCGTGGACAACCAGATTACCACGTATGCAATAGAATCTACGGATCGGTCTTTTGATAGATATGGTTGCTGGTAGACGATAGTGATTTGAAGGTCTGTGGGCAACACAAACAAGTCACACACCAGGGGAAAATATTTGCGCTGAGCCGCTGGTGAACCCAGTTGGGCGGCGTTTAACCAAGTTAACCTGGTGAGGGGATTTACAAAACCACCAGCATACTCATTTCCAGCATGTATAGGGACGTTGATCATTGAGGCGTTTGTATGTATGAAAATAGGGACTAGCAGTACATGAAGTTCTGCGAAATAACGGAAAGTACAGACACTGCAGACTATACAACGCGGGAACCGGTTATTTGAACCACTCGAGTCTCCCACGGGCTTGGGCTCGTGGCAACAACAGAGCCGCAAATTTTTGCGATTTCCATCAGTCGGAGTCTACAAAAGAATGCCTCCGACGCAACATAAGTACCCATAGCTGTGACCACTCAGCAGCGGCCCTGACCAATATTTAGCCTAAAAAGTGTGATCCATGTGAGGAACCCCCATTAATCTTGTAATACTCATTTTGCTTCTTAGCACCAAGCACCGGAGAGTCCAAATCTGTTCGACAGTTTCAAGTTCGCATACTGAATGCTCCTAAGGATGCTGTCACCGACCAGATATTGCCACTATTCCCTGGAGCGACCAAAGCATACCGCACAAACACGGGGTAAGTCCGGCTTGCGTACTGGCAGTATTCCATTTTTTGCATCTAGCATTGTTTTTAATCCCTAGAGGTTCGTTCCTCGGCAAACGGAGGCAAGTGGGTTCAGTGTTTGAAACACAAACCGGAAGATCCGTGGTTCGAACCTGATC